AACTAACATAATTGACAATAATAATAACAATCATAATAATCATAACAATAAAAGCATTATTATTATTCTTCGCCTCGTTCGAATCCATAAACAATACATTTTTAAACTTAGACTGTAGGACAAGTCAAAGCGCCTCTGACCTCGACCTTCTCCTCTCGGAGATGCACTTTGCGTGCCAGTTGCTCTCGGGTGCCGACATCCGGATATTTGGTCTCTTGGAAGAGGCCCTCCAGAGCCTCTAGCTGCTCGTCAGTGAAGATGGTGCGGTGCCTTCGCTTCCTCCGGCAATGCAGCTGATTTAATAACTGCAGCTCGGTTCGTGACAGGCTGCCCATGTTCATGTAGGACATCATTTGGTGAGGGACCGGAGAGATCAGCACCGAGCCTGTGCTGTCGTAGCCTGTGGGACAGAAGGTTGCAGAGAAGTCATACATGGAAAAAAAAACTTCTTATGGGAATAGCACCTATCGATAGTAATAATAATAATAATAATAATAATAATATTTAGCTTTATAGCCCCTTTCTTCTTGGTGACCACTCAAAGCGCTTCACAATATAGTTTTGCCATGCATTCATTTACACACACTCTCATACAGTTCATTTATGGGCAGTCTGGTATCACTCATCAGCCACACATGCCGGCACTGCAGTCAAGGACGATTTGGGGTTCAGTATCTTCGGCACGCGGAATGAAGGATCCTGGGATCAAAACACCGACCTTCTGGTTAATGGACGACCCTCTCTAACTTTTGACCCGTAGCCGCAAGTAATAATAATAATGATTAGCTAAAATAAGAGTATAATCTAACGTTTTCTTTTTGAATAAACCTGTAGTTTATGTTCAGTCCGTGCCATCAAACAAAAGGATAAAGACGTCACGAACATGACGTCTAATGTGAATATGATAGAAATAGGTTTTTATATGAATGCCCACATATGTACATTTAAATTAAAGTTTAGAACTTCCTCAGAACATTTGTGTTGGAGTTGGCACCAAAACATCAAACATAAACGTCTGCAACGAACAGTAGCACTTATTTAGTCATTTCTGTCAAAAAAAAAAATATTACAAGAGAATGAGTGACGTAACAATTGAAACGGAAACTATCATTTTGGGAGAACAGAAGCTTGGTTGTCCTACCTGCTGGGATGCAAGGGCACTGCTGTGGGCTGAGGCCGGGCACAGAGCCGCAGCACGGCGGTCCTCCTCCAGCGCCCTGGACCTGCAGCTGTCCGTAGTAATAACCGTTATATCCTATCCTGGTCCCGTTCACAGACTGAATACCGGGGGGAGAAGGTCCACATGTGGTCGAGTACAGTCCGTTATAGTCTGTGTAGATAGAATCCGTCAGGCCGGCGGACAGCACTACTGGGCCGCCCCTATGTAGCAGAAGGGGCTCCTTGCAGCTCGGTCGGCCGGACAAGATACTGTCTATGCTGAACATCCCGGCGGGCATCACTACAGCTCGGATTATGGAAAAGTCGGGAAGGTGAAACCTACACTGTAAGTAAAATGCTTTCGATTTCCGTTCGGCGTGGAAAAAAGTTTTCTAAAACTGCGTCATGATGACTCCGGAGACTTCATTTTTTGCATGTATGACTATGAGAGCTCGCCTCATGGATGCAGACTGGTGGTTTTAGTGGGGCCAGCAACTTTTATACCCTGATGACGTCACGTCGGAGCAGCGTTGCTCTGGGATCAGATGCTGAACGGCGACACGTCTGTGTATTAACAATTAATTCAATTAAGATAATCCGAGTCAGAGTGTCTTCCTGTAGAGTAATCTGATTATTTCCTCGTCAGTGAAGACACCATAATATAACTGGCTATATCAATATCAGTATTCACAATGACGACAGGGCTGGCCTTTTCCCATAAATTCACCAGTTCATCATCTCTTCATCATACTCGACCAGTAAGATTACAGATTTTTTTTTAAATTGCTGTAGCTAGGTTTGGAAGGGGAAATGTTTTAAAGATCAAACAAAAATATCTAACATAAACTAAAAGCCCACAGGCGACTCTGTGCATTAAGTGCTAAATTTAGTTATTTAAAGACAAAGGTTAGTAATATAGGCTGACAAGTTTGTCAGAAAGTTTCAACTATCAACAGGTTACCCAAAACTGAGTTGGCTACAATTTATTACATTTTCTACCTTATTATATATATATATATATATATATATATATTGGAACAAGAACAGTACACAACAGTATACATATGAACAAAACATATTATAACAGTAATTATTATTAGGCTATTAGTACATAAAAATGGTTGTTCATTAGAAATGTAATTGTATAAATAGTCCCAGGCAGCCCACTGGCAGAAGATAAAACAATCAAAATGACCCTTACCTGTAGATGTATAGGGACAACATGCGTAATGGTGCAGTAAAATTGTCATCAAAGCTTTTTAGGTCTCTCTCCTTACCCACATGAGTAAATTAATGTTAACCATATTCTATGTCAGACAGGAGCCACGGAGCACTGGTTCATCTCATTATCAACCCTCCGCTTGCTTCTCCGTGGGGAGCAGATCAGCGCGTTTCCTCCATGACAACAGCTCCCTCTCTGCGTGTCAGCAACGCCAAGCATTCCCCCCTGCCTAGGATAAGATAACGACCCATTAAAGCCCCCCATTCAGACTGGAAAAAGAGAAGTTATTGCATATTTACACGGCTAATCAACATGGACTCAGTGGCGGCGGGGGGACACGGGACGTGGATTCCCCATTCAGACCTTAATGGCTCTTACTGATTGCATTTAACTTTCAATGGGGTGTTAATACTCACACCAGGCTGATAGATAAGTTTATTTTGAAATGTGCGCTCTAGAAATTGGAAATGATTAGAACGGTACGGACACAGCTAGTGTTATAGCTCTGTCTGAATCCCACTGTCTTTTACCTAATGCGTTAAACTGATACGAATCACAATTCAAAGTTTCCTCGTGCTTGTTTTCCTAAACGAAAAATTCAATGATTTTCACGCTATTTAAAATTTTAGATAAACATTTACCCAGCAAAATCGGCTTTGAGTATTTTATTATTTCCCATAAGAAAGACAGACAGAAAGACCCTATTTTCAAAATACACGTTGCTTAAAATTTCCTTCGAATTGTTCTTATCATTTTACCCTTCTCTCATTGCCAGCCCAGCAACAAATTGGTAACCCCTTTTTAAAAAAATGACATGTCATTTAGGGTAGGCAATTGAAAAAAATGTACACTTTAGCCTGTAATAAAGCAAGCCACATGTAGTTATCTTCCATTCCTTATGCAAATCAACAGTATTTCCACTTTACACTGTTTTATAAGGAACAGCATGTGTTTTCTGAAGAACTGCCTCACAAACCAAATGGATCCGGTCTCCCTAACTGCCACTGTCTTCTCTATCACCAGAAGACAACTGGAAGTACTTAACCAGCCTCCTTTCACCATATTACATCCTTGTCCCATGTCTCCATTATTGCCAGGGTCATCATCCTCAATCATACATCTCCACCATTGACCATAGTGCATACTATGAACTGTAGTCGTTCTAAAACATTTATCTTTATTTATAGTTGTTAAACAGTCCCCACTAATCTTACATAGCCCTGAATTAATTGTACCTACATCAGCTCAAAAATATGGGCAATTTAAGGTTAAAAGAAGACTTTGTTTTGCTTTTACTAACATTATTGTGTCTAGGTTTAAAGAAATAAAAATAATGTATACCCTATCTACATTCCAGTTCAGGTAATTTACAGGTGGATATCATTTGGAACCAAACAAATTTATCTGTGTGTAATTGCACATACGGATGCATTCTTCTCTTTTTCTGCATGCATAAATCTCTTTGAACCCCTGCTTGCTCTCCACTTTTGATGAAAAATATATCTTGCAGAAAAGCCTTTTCTGTAATACTTCCAGAGAGACATAGAGAAGTAAAAGCCAAATGCTGTTATTATTTTCAATTTTTTTTTCTTCCAAGTAAAAGGACCAAGTCAAAGGGGATTGCTATAAAATGAAATGAAATTAAAAGCTGTGGAAGGCAGCACTTAAAGGTGAATGGAAGTGTCAATCATGCAGCACATAGAGACACAGCGCAACAAAAGCAGATGCATCTGTATATATCAGAGCCCTGATCCATAAAACCTGGTTAAATATAATAAATAAAACAGCAAGACTTGGTAATGCATCCTTCCAAGAGGAGATAAATACATGGTTGGAGTTCTGCAAGATTTGACACCTATGCCCTTTTTCATCTGCCTGCAGGGAAGGTACACAATTTACATAACCACCATAAAAAAACTGCTCATAGATATATTTTGGTGATGTTCATGTAAATGTTATGAATATATTAGTTTTTTTAATCCAGCAGAGTCATGCATGTCAGAAATATAAGGGACAGTGGGTTCAGTTGTTATGCAAAATTTTCTTCCAATCAGAATCAAAGTCTGAGCCTTTACAGCATATAGAGAGAATTTGAAGTTTTAAATCATTCTCCATTTAGCCAAACAGCATCTGAAATCCTCTTTTCCTTGTTGCATGTCAACTATAGAATTTATGAATATCACATTTGATATGGGGCCATTAAGAGGAAACACATAGCATTAAGCATTTTTCCATTGAATGTGTTTCAAGCGCTCTGTATGAACAGTTTTGAAGCATAACAAATCCACAAGTTGTACAAGAGGCAAAAGGAAAACATCAACAAAATAGATTCTCATTGAAATGTTTCTGTTCTGTTGCCATCAACAGGATGACATAAGTTCCCTGTCATGCATGTTATGCATATAACATTGTAACAGCTTGTTTTGCATGTTATACATATTATGCATGTGGTGTATGCTACACATGTGGCGTATGTTACGCATGTGTAAAGCATATTTGGTTATATCAGGGAACAATCAAAATAATTAGTATAAATATTTCATTCTATTGCCAAATATATAAAAAGATTATTTTCTAAGAAATGTCCCTCACAGTTGAGTCTATAGACCATTGACAACGCTTATGGTGAAATGAACTGCAACTAAGGCCAAAGAGGCTTCTAAATTTCTAAAACTGATGAGAAAAAGGCCTTATCAAGATTATTGAAGATAACCCTTCAAGAGCTGTCAGTAACACCTGTGTGTGAAGAATGCTGCTACTTACTAAACTGATGAAGCTTGAGCAATTTTCCCTTTGTGAAAATCCAACATTTAAATAATAATATTATGTCATTAGGCCTATCAATTTCACTTTTAGCTATAATCTTCCCAGTTTGTCAGTATGTCAGCATGTGCCAAACAAGTCTCAGCTCATTGTAACTTACGTCAATATGTAGAGTCAGACCTTTTCAGACAGCGAGATTTTGACATTCAAGTGAATGACTTTGCAAGGAAGAAGAGAAAGACACAAATATAGGAAGGGCGGGACTCCAAAAGACATTTGCCCAGGGGCCTCACAGGACCCTAATCTGGCTGTGGATACTGTGTGTCTTTGTGTGTGGAGCCGTTAACCGTCCCTCAAGTTCCAGAACTATCTTACAGAAGCTACACAATTTTTAATTTGCAATTCTCTAGGCAGGAAAAACCCTGATTAGATATGTTGTTGGGGCTTTTCTCATTGTGTTGTATGCTGTTAACCTAGCATTTTACTAACGTGACGTGAGTCTAAGCCTAAATCTATTCCTGAAGAGCTGAGGGGGTGGAGCACAATGTTATGTGAGATTGTTTAAGTAACGTTATGGCCAAAACTTAAATGTGACATCAATACAGTGGGAATCTTTTAGAGGGATCACGCCTCCTCCTGGTGTAGTTTGGACATTTATTTTGTTATAGAGAGAGTAAAGTAACGAAAAAAAAGTACTGTTGGGTACTGAATTCCAGCTACCGGCACTGGTTCAAATGTGAATGGTTCCCAACCCTAATCAAGGAGCACCAGTTATTTGTATGCTGATGTTGATCTGGAGTGCATATAATAAAACATCTGATTAGACAGTGGGTATTAAATAATTTAATAATCGGCCTATATGCACTTGAAGACGCCCTGCTATCACTTTTCTGCAAAGCACTGCATTCTTTGAAGTACTGTTGATGAAATTTCATACTCTCACTTGACACTGCTCAACAGTTTACTGAAATCCACAATCATTTTCTCTCGCAAAATAATTTGAATACCTCTGTGTTCTTATGCATCTTCTCTAGTAACCGTGGGCCTCCTTCACAAATATCTTCTGAAAATATTCTTAAATGAGTTCTTAAGAAGTTTTCTAAGAAAACTCTATGTGCGCTCTTTAACGGCAGAATTGTTCACATCTGTGTTCTTATATTGATTAATGCCAATTGTTCAAAAGTGGAAAGCGAGTCAGTTTTTTCGAATTAGCATAGGTAAACACCCCACCAATGCCCAATCCTTTAAGAAGCCAAAAATGAAAATCCGAAAACCCTGCAGTACCAAAAATCGTAGCACAAATTATATTCTGTA